GTCATAGTTATATGGATTGTATACGTGTTCTTTTTACTCCATGTGAAACCTCAGATATAGGAGAATAAAGTGTTTTGCAATAATTTGAACCGTCGGAAACAAAAATAAACGTCAACTCAGAGAAGCTTTTTTCTGTTCGTACGAACACACTGGGTGTTGAAACGTTTTTACTCTGCAACTAGAATCGCTTCATTCACACCCAAACATATTTCTACATTTCCAAAGCGATCTTCCAGTACCTCTTTATCAGTGTCTTTAGGCCTTTTCATACTCTGCATGCTACGCCTCAGTTGGCCCACCGACTCTAAGCACTAACTCGACTGTTATCCTTCCAACCGTGACTCTCATTTACGTGAGGTACTATTCATATTTGTGAGTAGTATACTTGAATTGCGAAAAGGAATATGATTGATGACTTCTCACAACGATCAAAAACGAACAAGACTTCACAGAGCAAACTAGTGCATTAGAGATTGTAATTAAAAGAGATGCACATCTACCGTTTGACTGTTCCATCAGTTATTCTACATGCTTGTTGGAAATATGATGACCTGCTTCAAGGGAGACGTTTCGTTCTATGTAATCTTACTTACCTATATTAGACATTGCTCTTCAAATAAATAGCTCTAGTCGTCCCGGCACTACCTTGTGGAATTAAAACCTAGAAATAATATAGGCGAAAACACAGATTGGCACTAAAAGGTTATCAAACGACACAATTGCAACACCTCAGGGACTATTCCCCACCCACTCAATCGAATCAATCTACCTTCAAAGCAATGAACATGTTGTAGTACAAACAAGTACACTAGTAGGGTATTTCCTTTGGAAAGATTGCTCAAACGTAATTCACAGAGACGCGTGTAGGCAGTGATCTCCTACATATATATCGGACAAATTGGCAGGAACACAAAGAAGCAATTGTACAACTCATTCCTGTGTTTGTTATAAAAGGAAGTATAGAACTGAATTAAATCGTCCACCAGTCCGCTGAAATAAGGTAACCTATGACCAAACGCGTAATACATTCAAAGTATCCATAGAGCATCAGAGCGGAGTTAATACATCTTGCTTTTAATCTATCTACAAACTACAAGAGAGAGATCGTACGGTCGAATTTCACGGTCCACTATAAATTTGTCGCATATCACTGGGGGTCAAATAGGGAGTTAAAGGAGAGATTAGAAAAGAAAGGGTTCAGCAACGTAGTAAATGCATCCAGAGGCCGATTTTAACAGTTTGCAATCAGCCAGCGGAAATAATCACCTTTGAAGTGCAGTTTCACGACCACTATCATCCCATCTGCACCTGAAGTTTTTTCCCGTGTGCAGCTGAGTTAGGAACGCTTTAAGATGCACCCTTTTGGATATCCATTAGATTGAAAAAGTTTTTTATTCTGTGACGTTCGTTATTCAGAGTATCTGCTGGGCAAATCTGTAGCTCACTGTAGAAAAGTGTTTATACCAGACTGATCGTACAGCCCATTGATCTATCCGTTCGATGTGACGGTATCACATACAGAAAAGTGCTACTGTCTTACACGTCATCGTGCAGTAGAAGTGTTATGTGCAGTTGGATAGTATTCAAGCGTTCGATGTATCGGGGTATTTTCCTTTCAAAATTACCATCCCTAAGTGTGCAAACAGCATGAATGGAATACCAACCTGGTGCTGCCTTGATAACAAATGTGTTTAGTGAACAATTTTGGTTGTAATCTTTCTTCGCGTATTATTCTGTTCTTTGTGGTCTTATATCGCCGATCGCATGAAGTGCAGCATTATCCAGTACAGTTCCAGCAAAAATACTCCAGGATGTACTGTACAGAGAAGTGTTTTTGGCTTTTCCATAGAAACCCGCTATCTGACTATTTCGAAAGAAGTCAGTTTGGCAAAGAAGCTCGTTTTCGGTGCCTTTTACTAGCCAAATACAACACTCCTTTAAGGGTCACAAAATCACATAATTCAAGCAAATAGAAAAAGCGTAAATAATGTCTGTGTTTGTATGCGTGTGTACGGATACAATGAATAACACAGTAAGGGGTAAGCCAAGGACCCGTCCATACTAAAAGAACTTAACCAGTATTTTAAGTTCCGTACGCATTTGGCGACAGCAAATTCTATCGTTCGTTTCCTGGAAGCTTCTTGCATTGTTAAATCAGAATACCCGAAACATTGTGCGTCAATTCTTTGTCGGAATCCTATTGAAGTGTCTAAGCGATCGTCACCTCGCCATGCGCTGGATGAAAAGGACACGTGGATGAACTGCACACGGGATTTAGAAAATAAATGTGTGGCTGCTGCAGAAGCACTACACAATTTGCAAGGAGACAAAGCGTCCGGTTTCCTCACCTACGTACAGCAGATCGAGTCAAAGCAACACCAAAACAATGAAAGACAATTTTGCTGGCTGGCCACTAATAAAGAGGACGGACAAATTTCCAGAGATCCAGAACGGTACGTGAATAACTTCTCTTTTTTACGTTTGAATAAGGTAGCCATTGAAGTTCTATCGTTAGGACCCAATTTCTGCTGTCCCAATCGAAACATTAGACAACTGGATTCGAAGCCGCAATTAGATCTTTATAGTCAGATGTCGGATCTACTGCTTGCATCGGATACTAATTTAGAAAATTTGAAAACACAGCTAGTCACGACATGTTATCAACACCTAACTCATCCGACTGCGCGTAGACGATTGCTCTCTAAGGAACATCTTGAAAGCTGGATCAAACTTCCGAGAAATAAAAATATTATTCTTCTGAGACCATATAAAGGCTCGGGGATTGTCATTCTTGACCGGACTGATTATGTGAACAAAATGGAACTGTTTTTACGAGACACCACTAAGTTTATTAAAAATGCTAGGGAAAAAGACAAAGCGGCAGCCATCGAGAAAGGATTGTCTAAAACCATTAGAAAAATGAAACAAGACGGGATGATAAGGTCCAGCACTTTCGAAAGAATAAGACCAGTGATAACACACATACCACGACTCTACAGTCTACCAAAATTACACAAACAAGGATCTCCAATGCGCCCAGTACTGAACATATACAACTTACCTTGCCATGGAACAGCGAAATGGCTAGCTTAGATCGTGGAACCCGGCAGAAGGGAACGAGCAACTTACAGCCTGAGGGATACCTTTTTATTTGTGGACACTATTGAATCGCTGGACGTTACAGGAAAGCGTTATGTAGATGTCATTTTCTGTGTGATCGGTTCCTCCACTCTTCTGTTGGACCAATTTAGCAAAGCCCATAAAAACATAAGATTCATGTTGGAAGTGGTATTTCCGAAGGGTTGGTTTTTCTCTGTTTTACTCTCGCGCTGTAAAAACGGGTCTCTTCGACGCAGCATTCACCGAAAGTAGACTTGGACAGGACAGTACACAATTGATCACAGTTTTGTACCTCTACAGCATTGATTTGATAGATCGTGAACAGAAAAAGGTGAATATACTCGCTTGATACACTCGAGGAAGAGCTGAGAAAAATCAAAACGACTTTCATAAAAAACGGATATCCGGATAAGATCATTCTACAATGTATGAAGGTGCCAATAAAAGTGCAATCGGAGATGACGGCTAAAAAGAAACCAGTTTACTTGTTCATTCCCTTCAAAGGTGACACATTATCTGAAATGATATGTAAACCTCTCCAGACTGCTGTCAGAAATACACAATATGCCGCTGATTTACGCATCATTTACACTTCCAAATCAGTTCTCTCAATGTTGTTGAAAGATAAGCTACCGTTCGAAATGACTTCGTTCCGCACTTACCAGTTCGTATGTTCCTGTGGAACCACTTACATTGGTCGTACCACCCGCGGCCTGGTCGAGCGCATTCGAGAACACCATCCCAGCTGGCTTAGTTGTGTATTTCAAAGGTGCATTCGTCGTGTATATAACAAATGAAGCGTGAACTGTAAAGCTAGGAAGCACTGTACAGCTGTTTTGACCTGGTTAGGTCTCATCAGTAGTTCAAATCTATCGACTCAACTCGCGTAAATGGAAAATGAAAACGGTCCGATCAGCTGCCGGGAGACCGAGTTGGTAGCATGCTTGCGTTCTGTCCATGAGGTCCCGAGTTCGATCCTCAGTTGGGTCGATGGATTCGCACTTCTGATGAGACTTAACTAGGCCAAAATAGCTGCACAGTGCTTCTTAGCTTTTCAGTTCACGCTTCATTTGCTATATGCACGACGAATACACCTTTGAAACTGAACCAAATCCTCCATTACTCATTTGAAATTAGTCACGGATTGACGAGCCAAGGGGGATGGCGATTATGGCTCATCTGGTCGAAACCAAGCATTGTGCCAGAATGAGTGAATCGGTCAGGCCCATCTACATGATCATCGAGGTTAGATTGAACCAGGTCAAGCATAGCTTACTGTCAACAGCCGAAACGATCGCGATTCGGTTGAACAGCTCTGGATTTACCATGGCCAGCCACAAACGCTAGAGTGACGTAAAGCCGGTCATCAAATGAGTGTCAAATATCTATGTATTTGATTCATTGGACAGTAAAAATGACATTGGCAGAATGATTTGAACTCTCATACACCCCTTACTGTATTATCCATTGTATCCGTACACACGCATACAAACACAGACATTATCTACGCTTTTTGATTCCTTTGAATGAAATGATTTTATAACCTATAAAAGAGTGTTGTATTTGGCTAGTAAATAACGCACCAAAAACGAGCTTCTTTGCCAAATTGACTTCTTGATGCAATCCACGGGTGTTTTCCAGTATTGCGAAAGAACAAATATTGCAGGGTGTAATTTAATGTACTGATCTCGGATTTTTCAATGACAAGAAAGCATCGTGGTTGTTTTACTTGAAATCTTTAGGGATTATGTGAATTAATACGAAAATAGAATAAAAACGTGATCATAAAATACGGAAGAATCCTTGCGTAATTTCTTAGCAGATCAATCAGAAACGTTCATGAACATGAGATTGTATAGCTCCAACTGAGTGCTTTTTCCTTATTCCGTTCGTTCGGGGAAACTATCCGGTTTATCTTCACTGATACCCACAACCTGTATCAATTGTTCATCCAGAATATCTTCTAGGTGCATCACCACACTATCTGTCAGATCGTCCAGGAATATGGCTGCCAAACTTTGCACTGTGTCCTCGGTCAGTCTGGTGCTTGGTCGGCTTGCAGATCCAGAGAACTGGTTCTTGACCGATTGCGATGGGAAGGAGAGAGTATGAATGGGTGGAGGAGAAGACCTTATGAATTCCGAATCACTGGCATGCAAAACTAGCGTCTGACTTTAGCGTGACCGTCTGATACGTGTATCTCCTCATTATGCCAAACTACTCGGGAGGTTATTGACATCTGTGTCCGTATCCCATTGTTTCGCGTTCACACATTTCTGAGGCTGTTATACGAAAGTAATTCAACATAATTGAGTATATTTTGGCAACATTTGATAAATAGCTCTCAGTTCATTGTTACCATCTCAGGTAACGGTGAAGTCTGATATTAAATCTCAAATTATTCTCCCTCAACCTTTTTTTATTAAACACCGGTGCGTGATGGAAAGCAGACGGGGTGGAACCCCATAGTTACAAATACCTGCTGTTCAGTGATGGTAACCAGCAGACTAAGCCTCGGGGCTTTGCGTGGGGAACTACATAAGGCCCCACTAGCTCAGGCGTGGTATAGAACCGAGCAACAGCAAGGCCGTCTACCACCAAAGTTGGGTGGCAGTGGGGGGCTAGAACCTCAGACCACAGGATTCGAAGCACGCCAGTGACAGCGACTAAACCACTGCTCCACCATCACTAATTATTAGTGAAGTGGCACAGTGGTGGTGGCGAAGTGGTTTAGTCGCTATCACCGGCTTGCTTCGAATCGTATAGCGTGAGGTTTAAGCCCCGCCATCGGCACCCAACATCGTTGGTAGACAGCTTTACTTTCGCCCCGTTCAATACCAGGCCTTTTGTGGTTCACCACTACAAGTCCCAGGGCTTAATTTATTGTTCACCATAATATTGAGGGGCGGGTCTGCCTGACAGTGGGGTTCTTCCCGTCTGCTGTTCATCAGACAAATGTGTGTAATAACAAACAAAAGAAATTGATTAAAAGATAAAGCACAATTCATGTAATCATCTGAATTTAATCGTTTAGCAAAATTATGTCTTACTGTCTAAAACATAGTCATTCCATAGTGAAAAACAATCATTCGAATAACGCTTATCGTTTGGTTCCAAAACCAGTGCAGTTTCAATAGAACGATAGCACATTAAGAGGATCAGAAGAAAAGTTATTATTTTAATGAGTACGTGTCTACCATGCATGTCACTGCACTAAAACTATAAAATGCGTTCCCAGAAAATATAATATTAAATGCATTTATTCAGTTCAGCTTTTTGTTTTGCATCAGTCTAGGGGTTGACGCAGTGCCCAGATCAAACCGAGCGGGAATCTTCTGTGATAAAATTCAACAGAATTCGTATTCCAGCACGTGCAATGGATCGCTGGGCTCGCTTTCAGTACCATGACCATGCTATTACAATACACTAAAAAGTTATGGCTACATAGAGAACAATGCTAAACTACACCTAGACTGCATTCACAATTTCGAGGTTGTATTTTCCATGCACTGTAAATATGCATCGAAATTATATTCAAATGCGCTTACCGATGATAGTGATGAGGTTGTAGTCGGCCTGTGCTCGTTCAACACAGTTTGTTCGTTCTGGATTATGCTCAGAAATTCCTCAAGATGCTCCTCGCTCCGCTCAATGATCTGAACCGATAGAGTTATGCACATGGATAGCAAAAATGTAATTAACTGCCAAGCTCCGTGCTCCGGTTTCATCGTGTGAAGTTGATTGCGTAAAACGTGAATAGACTCAATAGCCAACGCAGATGTATAGATGGTTAGAGGATACCAATAGTTTGGTGTACTGCGAAGGGTTTCTATGACTAACCGCTTTAGCGATCAGAAGCAGCTAAATGATGGGACGCAAGTAATTCTCAGAATATTTGTGATTGGTTGTATAATCTGTTCAATTGTTTTGCTAGCGGATAACTAATATTGATGGCTATGGCTTTTGCATTCGATAATTCGCAAGTTTGTTCGAAAACGTGGTCCTGGCATTCCAGTTATCGTCTACTTTCAACCCTTGACTACCATGTCAGATAGCTTTCAGGAAAATGGCGTCGAATATACCGGTAGGTCGTACGATGAAATCGATGTTTGCCAAGCTGCAGTGGGTATCATTTATGATCTATCAATCTCACAGGGAGTCGGGACCAGGACCTCACGAGCGTAAAGGTAACTCGCCATCGTAGCAGAACGTCAGAAGAGTGTTCTTTGCATATAGAAAACATGCGGACAATGCTGATGATACTTTTCAGGGACATTAACCAGAATCTATTTAGTTCAGCTCGTGAAAATTGATGAATATGTGGCCTAACGGTCGCATAAAACATCCTTTTAAACCATATGTTGCTATAGTTGTCAAATAGCATATATTCCTAGGTAAGTAAGCAAGAACATATACAATATTCAATAAATATGGAGCCTAGAAATTCTGTCAATATTGCACTCCATGAGGCGAAAGATGACTGTTCCTATTATTGAATGACCCGTTTGATGTGAGAATACTACCTGGAGGACCAGGGTTCAATCTAAGTGTATCAAATTAGACCGAATTTGCTGAACATATTATCACAAAAGGGTTATCGTATCTACACATCTTTCCTACCTCGTTCACCATTTTCTCGGCGATTTCTCGCAGTTGTGACTTTGCTTTTTCCAAACTGAAATCATTGTGGTTCACTTGATTTGCCACATACTCAAGCAGCTCCATCACGGTGGACGACTCCCTGGAATCGAGCCGGGGCTCTTGATCCGAAACTGATCTGTCCAGTGCAATATCAGTCATACCGTCCTCAGTGGATTGCGTATTCGAACGACTCACATCTATTCGATTTCGATGAAAATGGAACAAAACGAGAACAGTTTCTAGTCATCATTTTGGGGAGAATACTTTATTTCGGACCAAGATGCAACTTCGGACAGAAAAGTGCAACAAGTTGCCCTACACTTGTCAAGCTCTAGATTCCGAAACTTATCAGTTAAGTGCATCTAAAACCCCATTTAGGATCTCCTTCATGTCAGATGACCAAGACAGACGTCCACCGCAAAAGAATTTCGAATCAAAGACTTGTTTGATAATCTTTTTAACCTAGGAACATCTGTGCGGCACGGATGTAGTTGATTTGAGCTAAACAAAATTGGAATTATTTACGCAACGCTCAAAATTATTCTGATCTAGTGTTATCTTGCACTCGATCGCTTCAACCAACGTCGTTTTCATGGACAGGAAAACAGGCTAATCTAGATATGTGTTGGAGTACAAGTTACGCTCCATTCGACTATGTAAGTTGTTGTAAAAGAAGCAGTCTCTCCATGAATATTTGGGAGAAAATTAATCCATTGTGTGCAATTCCCGCGTTTCAGGGACAAAGTCTGTGCTGAATAGAAAAATACTCACTTGAGTTTCACCTCCCAAAAAGGATCATTGATTTCAAATTGATAATTCGATTTGTTTTTGGTACGCAATCGATAGGCTAAATGCATTACATTCAACAATTAAAATATCACGGGATGGAAGAGAAAGAGTACACGGTAAAACATTAACCGTACTAAAATAAAATAACCTGTATGTGATTATTGGTGGTTTGATGTGGATAATTTATTGAGCACGAACAAAACGTCCTCCAACTGAGTGGATATTGATTCCGGATACATGATGCTGGTTGGTCATAATCTAATAACTATAAACAGATTTCAGGATAGAAAGAGGAAAAGAACAGTTCACTTTATCTATCATCTGTTTTTGTGTCGATCAATTCACAGTGTTAAATTCACTCCGTATTATATTTTAATCGATTCTACCCAGAGTGTGGCTTTTAAAAAACAAAAAACAAATTTGAACCAGAAAAGTTGAGAACTCATTTTCAAACTCGAGAAATTTGCATAAATGAAGTCGATTTACTAATTTGCTTAGATCAGACAGCACATTTCTCAGCCGTGCCAACTCTGTTACATGGATCGAACGGTGAGATTTCTATATTATTCCATCAAGAAGCATTACTCTAGCTGATTAAATCGGGATTAAAAGAGACCGGAGCTACAGAGATCGCCTACAACCAGACTGACTTTACTCCCACAATCAATTTGCATGAGACTTTTCGTCCCCTCTCTCTGTACGGTCTAAAGAAGGTTGTACAGAGAGGCCAAATCTCGACTTTTGTCAACAACCAGAGCAATTCTCATCGGTCTCCACAATTCTGTCTTTTCTGTTCAGAAGAACATTGTAAAGATATGCGACTTTATCGAACTTCTGCAACACCCTGGATTTCACTACATTCGTCCAGCCACCCACCCCGCTCCCCAACGATTTGCGATTTTAGCCTCATCGATGGAATTAAACATGCTATCGCTTCACATCAGACGCAATATAGCCGTGATAATCACCACTTATGTCTTTTCTTTCATTAGTCCAAAGGCATTAAAATGTACTATTTCGCTCTCTCGACGACGATCGCTGGTTCACGACTTGTAAAATAAGAAAGCCTCGGGAAAACAATTTCTCTTTTCATGCATATTTTATATATTTATAAAAGTGACTCTTAGTCATGAAACAGATATCGTTTTCTCCTTTTTTCAATGCTCTATTTGCCATTTTTTATTTTCGAGCGCTCATGGCAATCGGTTTCTCATCGAGTTCACTAAGTTGACTATCTAACAGCATTTGTCAGTTTCCCCACATACATGGCACACCCTCGTCAGTGACGAAAGCTGTCAAGGTAACTAACTTATCCGCGATTTAGTACAGGGAAATGTATTGGATCACATTTAAATCCCGACCGCCGGGCGATAAGTAAAGGAATTCGAAATTGAACTTGAGCCCTCCAAATGAGAGTCATTGTACACGAGTTCTAACCATACCTATATTAGTTAGTAGCATCTAACCCATATACAAAACATTGAATCATAGCATTGATTGTTCAATGGACTAGCGCTGAATTATTTGTCTATCCAAAAGTTACTCGGAGTTGCAAACAAGGTTATTGTGACGAAAATACACTTTCTGGGTACAAGTATATGAATGATCTAACAGAAAATTACCGGGTACACATGCCTGATGAGCGGTAAAAACCGCGAAACCGGTGATGTGCTTCCAGGGAAATTTTGTCCGTTCACTCACATACTACTTATTATTAAATATATATCTATATACCAAGGCAGACGCTCCTTTGATCAACCTTGATATAGTTAGAAAATGAATAGCACTAATCTTTCTTTCAATATGATATCGGAAAGTCAATTTCCCGGAGTAAAAAAGGGAGGTAATACTTCCATAAAATTACGCAGCTTTTTTTCTATTCATCCTGATACCACTACTACTCTACAAGAAGAATTACCGTTGTTGTGTGATTTTTATTAACAAAACCCCAAAGGAATCATTTTCAGCCAATGTTGACGTATTCTCAGGTTACATGAAAAAACCAGTTATGGATCTGATCAACCAGTTTTGGTGGATTAATCTTCGTGCCTAACTTTCGGGCTTCCTATATTTTTTGATCGGTTTATGCGGGCTAATCACAATGAACGTTGTCCATAAACGAACACCCCGATGCTCTCGGGACCGTTGTATCACCCTATCCATTACGTGCCTTAATCCCTGCAGTTCTATGGATTTTTCTGGTACTCAGATGCTCCCAAACATAGAACGATCTGTTCGGAAAAATTTACGGAATTTGGATTTTCAGTTTCCCGGAGAAAATTCTCTTGATAAAACGACGAATTTTGAGGTAAGCAGTATCAAAAATAACTAAATGAAGTGTCCTTGTGGTTTCCCGATATTCTCTCGAACTGTATTTGGTGGCATCCACAGAAAAATTAAAAGTAATATCTCCTATCGTAAAAGCCTAATGTTTTTTTTTCAGTAATGCAATATGAGTGCCACAAAACCTATCCTATACCCGGGGTGTGAAGTGAAAGTAAAATATAAATCTTTCATGCAACGTTTTAAACTTAAAGCAATGTTTTCCCGTCACAAATTTGAATAGAGAAGTCAGAAACATGGGTTTTCACAATGTATCCATGGTCATTTCGCTGCATCTGTACACGTGCATACTGCAGTCAAAGTCATTTTATATAGTCAGTGAGATAACTACCGTGAAATGAAGACATGATTGCTAATCACAACACACAACACACGACACAGTAACACAAAAAACGGGAGAGGGTGGGGGTAATCACCAAGGCAAAGCTAAAGTGACTAACCATTCACGTTGTTTGCATAGATCGGGTTTGAGGATACGAATGGCTTTGACTGCAGTATGCACGTGTACAGATGCAGCGAAATGACCATGGATACATTGTGCAAACCCATGTTTCTGACTTCTCTATTCAAGTTTTAAACTTACGCGACCGGGGGACTTGAACGAAACTGACATGCTTGCTAGAACGTCTATGCGGTCCTCGTTGCTTGGTGGCGTGCGTGACAAAACGGATGAAAGATTGTCGATGATTCCGTTGCGCGTGCTGTGAAGAAGATAAGAAACTTCCAGTTAATCAATATTTCCGAAAGCAATCATAAAGGATTCGACTACCCTTTGAATCTGAAAGTTCCAAATGAAGCATCGGGCTGCGTCTGCTATATGTATTCGAAGTATTTCTGATACCGTAGTGCCGCAAGTTTTCTTCGAGTCCAATCAAACCAGTTTCGCTGTCATTATCGTTTTCTTCTTGGTGATCTCAATCTTACTATATACTGATTTAAAAAAACAAACACCCAAACGAATCATAATAAATGTAAACGTTTCTTCTCGTTTGACAAAACCGTAGATCAAACGTTATAGAACAACTAAGATCCGAAGTAGTTTCTCAGCTATCTATGAGAACTAACAATTGTTTTTCAGAATTGCCGTTTCCCTTTTCTTGTGTTAATGAACTGTGACGTGACTTCCCAAATATCACTATCTTAAACGGGGATCTTGCAAGCATCTCTTGCGTAATAAACTGATCCCTGTTCACTGGATTCTTTTAGGCCATAATAGCCCAAAAGTTAATTCCGTTCCACAGAATATTGATTTCTACCGTTGACTCTAAGCGCGTTTGAAATGATATCGCGGAAATACGCTTTCGTCTTCTCCACTTTTCTCGCTCTTCGACTCACGCAGTTCCCCTGGATTGGGCAACTTGCCCGACACACACATACCGCACCGTCTGAAAATAGGTTACCTTAGAATACGCGATGCCTGAAACAACGGGGTGTGATAAACGCAATCCCTTTTTGAGCATATCCGATCAACTGTATTGAGGAGTTCAAGGATAAATGGGTTATGAGAAATACATGAAAACGGTGTTCTACTCAAGCCAAAATTGCGCATGTGTAACTTACCTTATCATACCATCACTAAATGGATAGTTAGGGAAATTGTAATCAATTAAAACATACCCAGCAATGAACACCCTAGACAATTCGTTTGATCTGGTGGTTACATACATGAATGAAACCGGACTACGAATGCTGTCCCTCGATGTCACCTCGCTATTCACCAATATTCCTATAAAATAACGATCGACCACCTAGCGGGCTACATTCAAACTAATAAGATTTATATCCTATCCTGAATGAGGAGTTCAAATAATTACGTTATCTTGGCCTTTGAACCGATTCATCTGTGCCAAATCCTATGGGACTAGAAAAGAAACCACTTGTAAGTATTTCCCATAATAAAACTTTGACTTTGATCGGCAAAATCCTCGCAGTGGACTCTGTCTAGGAACGTTGCAAACCTTTAGATTCCTCAGTGATCACTATCATTGCAGCACGACGTACATACACATAACGGTAATTCTAAAGAC